GGGGCGGAGAAATGGCGGGCGGGGAGCCGGGAGGTGGGGCTGGAAAATGGCGGGAGCTGGGAAGCGTTGGGGGGACAGGTGGTGAGAGGGGCAGGAAAATGGCGGGGGGACTGGCAGCGAGGGGTGGCGGGGAAGGAGGAAGAGGAAGGTTAGAGGTTGCTGAGGTTCTTGTCCCTGGTGCAGCGGGAGCAGCGGGCTAGGGATGGGGTGGTGGGGTGCACCGGAGACCTGGCAGCCTGGCAGGGAGAGGAGGGTGCTGAGGCCTGGGCTACAGAAAGATGTTGCGGCTGGGCTCTGCAGGTCCTGGCGTGGGGATGTGACAGGGATGCGTTGCCCGCATCCCTGAGGTGAGCCCTGTTCTGTGTCCGGGGCCTCAGCAGTACCTTCCCAGCGTCTGTTCTGGCAGTGAGGGTGCGGGTTTGTTTGGGGACACAAAAAACTTGGGAGTATTTTTGAGAAAGGCATGATGGTGTGAGTAGTATCCATCATGGGTCAGATTTTCTTCTCGTGTGTGCACCGTGAACTTTGACAGTTTGCAGCTACTAACACATGCTATGTTTAACTTCTTCAGTCTGAAAGATTATTTGGTACCTCCATTCCCATTGCAGTCAGTAAGTAGACTGTGGGAATTAAGCATCTCTTAAACATGAAGGCATGAGAACATTAAAGCAGATTTCTTTAGTTCTTTCAGGACTTTTTGAGCTGGAGAAGTGGGTTAAGTTTCCTGCCATTTAATTCTATTCAAACAGGAAGTGGGCAACAGTCAGTGACAGGAGTTGAAGCTTCAGATGATGCCAACAGTTACTGGCGGATTCGTGGGAAGAGCGATGGCAGCTGCCAGCGCGGAACACCAGTGAAATGTGGGCAAGCTATACGACTTACCCATGTTAACACAGGAAAAAATTTACACACTCATCACTTCCCATCACCACTCTCCAATAACCAAGTGAGTTGTTTTAAATCTTAAGCTTTTGTATAAATAGTGCATGCTACTGACAGTACTTCTCTCCAGTTTTTCATGGTTTTGAAGAAACAGGCTTGCATCCCAGCTGCCAGAAAGAGTATGTCTATGCATATCCAGAGTTCAAGTATATTCTTTTCTGCATCTTTGAATAATGTATTTAACTTCTCGACAGTGCTAAAAGTTAATATGCACCAGTACTGGTATTTCATAGTAGTTTTAACAAATCTGCATATTTTTTTTTAATCTGCACCATTGCTACTGGGAAGACTGTTCTGAAATGTTTAGCACTTTCAAGGCTTTGGAGACTGGGTGCCTCCCTCAACATTGTGAAGATTGCTCTAGAGCAAGGCAACTAATCATGTCTTATAACACTAGGCATTCCTGTATCCAAGTTCCTTGGCGATCCAGTCTATTGGTCTCAGTCATCTTCTCACTATCCCTATTTTAATTCACTATTCCTATTTATCTGTCCTCCTTCCACAGGAAAAAATTAATCTGCTCTCACAATAGTATTTATTTATTGTATTGTACATATCTAGAAGAGTGTGATTTCTAACTGTAATTAGGTCCCAGTCTTGTCCTTGGACAAACGCTTCTCAAGATTGAAAATCTCACTTAAAATAAATAATGCAAGCTTGTTGGAAGTTTGTCCTTCGTAGTCCTTTTAGTCTTCCTTCAGGCTATGTAGACAGGTCATTAAAAAATTGGAAAACCTGACTCTTTGTGAAAAAGGTTTGTCTTTTACAATGAGTAAAGTGGCTGAAGCAATAAGGTCCAGTTTTGTGTAGGGTATCTAGGTGATTTGGTTATTAAAACAAAAGAAGTGATGGAAAAATAGCATTTTAGAAAAATGATTTAAAGAACAGATTGACTCTAAAACCTTCCCCCAGCTTTCATTTATCAGTTTAGACAATTTGTATAACATTGTCCTTAATGTAAAAATCTTCAGCAACTGTCATTGTGTTTCTTTGGTTTTGCTATGTGTTTGCACAGTATCTAAGCGAACTGAAAGTTTGCATGACTTCCCAGAGATTGATAGGACTGTAACTTATGACACTATTGAAATATGATGTAGTTATGAACACAAACTTTTATTTCATATTCTTAACAGAGGTTGGATTTTCAACTAGTATGTTGTCTTTTACACTTTTTGGACTACATAAACGTGAATTAACATGACCCTAAAATTTTAGGTTGCTAGATACAAACTATTGTAGTTCTATTTTCAAGTTGTTCATTGCTTCTAGTTACCAGATTTTTAAGAATTAAAGGTTATCTGGAGTCCTAAACAGTTGGAGCTTAGCCTATCTGGTTTCTAGAAATGCTTGGAATTTTTTTTGGTGCATAATGAAATCTAATCTCTGACTTTTGTTTTAGCAGGAATTCATTTGCTTTAATGGCTGTCTTTATGTTTTTTTAAAGAGCTATTCAGCTGTCTATCTGAAGAAAGAGTGTAAACCAGAATAGTTTTTGACCCAGTTGTAAGCCTGGTATAATTAAGTAAAAAAGGAATATGATTACTTAATAAGATAAATTGTTGGGATGTTGTGATGAAAACACATGCTGAAAAAAACTGTTGCAATGGTAACTGTGAAGATGGTCATACTACAAAACTCAATGTCTACAGTTAGGAACTCTTTTGAGTGGGGAAAATTTGCATCAGCATTAGTGTCATTTCTTTTGAATTTTTTCTCAGAAGGATTGTTCTGATCTCTGTGCTCAAGTCCTCTTTCATTTCATTTGTAATGTATGTTGGGGTTTGTTGGCACTTTTTGCTCAGATTACATGTTGGAGTTTGTTGGCACTTTTTGTTCAGATTGTAGTGGTAGAAAGTTACTGCTTCTGGATTTGATAACTATTGGCAAAGCAATGCAACAACAGTTTTTCTTTCCTCTCCATCCTTGCCTTTCAACTCTGCTGACTTTGTGGTTGATATTTTTGTGTCTGTATTGGAGGTGTTTGCTTACTTTTTCACTTCAGGAAGTTTGTGTCTCTAACAGGAAGTAAGTGCCTTTGGTGATGATGGCGAAGGAGATGACCTCGATATATGGATTGTGCAATGCAGTGGGACTTACTGGGAGCGGGAGGATGCAGTGCGCTTCAAGCACGTAGGAACTGAGGTGTTCCTTTCAATAACAGGGGAACAGTATGGCCATCCCATTAGAGGCCAACGGGAAGTTCATGGCATGCCTACTGCTAATCATCACAACTATTGGAAAGCAATGGAGGGAGTCTTCATCAAACCCAGTACGGACCCTGCAAAACATGATGAGCTCTGAACTGACAGAGGATCCAAAATGTTTCAGCTTACTCCAGTGTTCGGAGATGCTAATCCTTGGTCTCTTATAAGTCCCGCCTTGCCTAAGTGACTGACTTTCTGTATTACTGAAGGGCATTAGTTCATTCTAGGAATGCAGCACTTCTGTGGGGAATGGCATCTGCCAGGTTCAGCCATTGAAATTTATTTGGCAAAATCCTTTCTGAATTTCAAGCTTAATTGGTGAAACTAGTTTGTACATCTGTTAGTTTTTGTCGTCATTTGTTTTGCTTCTTCCTTTGTCTCTAATTTGAAGGAAATGGAAAAACTGAAGTAATACATTTCTGTAGTCCCAAGTACAATAAAACTTTGTATTTTGTAATCTTTTTCCAATTATAATTAAATATTTGGAAACTGATTTCTACTACTTAGTGAGAGGATGTTATTAATGAGGAGATGGAGTAAGTCTAGAAAGGGTAAAATAGTTCTCAAATACGGTGTCTTTTGAATGGCTTGAAGTCAGCTATTCGGCCTTCCAGAAAAAAAATGTGGTCCATTTGAAAATTGCTTCCAGTGTCTTCCATGAGTTTCATTGTGTACTGTATGTTGGAGTTTTAATTTATTCTCTTTCTCCAATAAGTGCGTATTTCTGGTAGTGGCAATACTGCTAATTGTCGAATGGTAAGGCTGCTCTGCTCTATGAAGTGGTGCAGAAAGCTACTGTTTGTTTAGTTAATATTAGAATTTTATAAAATTCCATGTGATGCGAAGGAACAGTTGAATTTGACTTATGTTGTACTTGCACGTCATTCTGCAAGATCAGTATGAGAATCCAGATGAATAAATAGTAGGGCATATAGCCATGTGGGGTTGTTTTGTGTGAATCCAGAAGAAGAGAAAAAAGAATCTTAGACAATGGTTTGGTCCTGGATTTTTGACAGAATGGCATGCTCTGGAGTACTAGCAAGGAGCCTTCGTCGAACAAGTTATGAATTTCTGTGTTCCTCTCCCTCTGTGAAAACAGAAAAAACCTAATGCTTGAATGTTTGTTACTGGAAATACTGATTAAAATTCAAAGTACCGTACATTTTCTATTCACTTTAAACAGAAAAGCTCACAAAATCAGTGTGAAAAGTCAAAATTCAGATGTTCTTATCTCCATGTGTAAATAGTTTACCAATTATGGTCTTAATTAGTCAATCAGTTAAAGAAGCAGGAAACTGATTTACTGCTTTTACAGCTCCAGTCACATGCTGCGGTGTTGGTTTGTTAAGAAGGTGCAACAGGCAATTGCAGTTAAGCTTTATAAACATACCTACTGATACGTGCTTCATGCTCTGTGATGCCTCATGCAGTTGTGCTGTACAGAATAACTTCAGGTTTTATTTAGGGGTTTACTACTAGTGAAGATCCTCGTAGTGTATGGAACAAGGAACCTCTGTAACAGTTGTTTTGTGTACCTGATTATTTTTCTTCGAAGAAAAAGGTAAGACTGTTTTTCTATGAGTCTTAGTTGCATGTGGGTATTAAGGATTACGGGTATTTTGGAGAGGAAGTAGCTGGCTTTTGCTGGTTTGTATTAGAAGTAAACTTCTTTGTGATTAATGTTTCAGGTTCACTGATATTCCTGACTAATTGGTATTGAAGTTGTAGCTATAAAGGATAACTATTTAAAAGCAAACCAAACCTGCATAAACAAGCTGACTTTGGTTTTCCTTTATTAAAAAGGAGGGCTTTTCTATTGAAGTTGGTATATGAGTAAACACAAAAAGAGTGGTAGCGTTTGGCAGGAGGAAGAAACAAATTTGGCAGTGGCTCGTCTGTCACTAAGAGCTAAATGCTTTATGCCTAAACCATGTGGGCTTAGTGTATGTGCACCTGTGGAATACTGAGTTGGCTGAGAAGGGCTAGAGCTGTGTGGCTCATCTCTGTGTGCCAGGTACTATCCCCACCCAATGTTTATGTCCGCCTGGATGTTTCTGTCCCTAGCAAAGGTATTTATCAGTTGTCTTCACTATGCTTGAGTGGGATCTCACTGGACCTTCCTCTTTCTGTTCTGGATTTGAGCCAAATCAGTTTGGTGAGGCTGAGAAAGAACTGACTTTAGTTCTTACTGCTTACTTTCTACTATGATCTCACTTTTGAAAACTTCTTCGTTTTCAAAGCAGATTGTTTCAAAATTTGTACCTTCTGTTCCTAAAGAATCAAGCTTCCCCATACACATGTATCTATGAATGGCTTATTTAAAGATATATTCAACAATATTCCTGTGAACTGAGTTGCCTTCACTTTTGATTCTGACCAAAGTATAAAAGTCACTTGGCCTTAATATTGCACTTGCATTATTGCGCATGTGTCACAATAGATTTTTTTTCTCTTTTTTCTAATTCTTATCACTATAAAAGTTGTGCTGAAAGACTCTTAAATAAGGCCAGTTGAAGTACACCTTACTCTGTCTAATTTAGTACTAAAATAACTATTGATACTCACAGCATGCTAAATGCAGACTACAAAAGTCTTAAGTTCGTGTAGGAAGTGCAAAAGCTTATAGCTGTGAAAAGTGATGGCTTGCGCTAATGTGCTTTCCTTTCTGTATAACTTCTAGATTCACAAGACTTGCATTAGTATCTGTTTAATGTCATACCTTATGCTTTAAACTGAAGCACTGAGATTTCAGAACCTGATTCAGGTGTTTTTTATTTACTTTGGCTGCTTACAATTCAGCTTTTCAGTCCTTCCCCCACAGCTGAGGACTAGAGACTTGGGGAACCCCAGTTTTTATATTGTTGCTTTTGTTGTTGTTTGTTTTCCATATGAAAGTTATCATCTGCCTAAAGATATTGGGACTCTTGGGTAAAACATGAAATACTGAGAAATGTAGATATGAAAGTTGGGAACACCGTTTTGCATCTTTCCCTTTATTTTAAGGCGATAAACTAGATTTTATAATACCTCTTGTCAAAATTCTCTATACACTTCAAGGTTAACTGAAAACTATTTTGGTTTCTGATGCTAGCAGAAAATAATTCTTTCAAATAACTGACAGGTGCTTTCCAATTTCTTGCTCACTGCTACTACAAGAACTCTTTGAAAAGGTGTGCCGGTGTTGTTACTCTTCCTTTAATAAACTAGAAAAGCTTTGGGGAAAAGAATTAGGGGGATCCTTATGTATAGTTGTTCTTCGTGGGAATAACTGCTAAAGACAATCTACCTACTTTAAACTGTACTTAAAAAAAATCTGTCAAATACTGCATTTTACACATATGCATATATCTAGTTCAATGTAAAATGACAAAGAGTTCCTTAGACATGTTAATTTTGGAGGCAAGCGTGTGTGTCTACAAACATGTTCACTTATTTCCTGAAGCTTTTTAAAGCTCTGTATAACTGCTCAACATATGAATACTTGCCACACATTTTGACTTTTCAGTCAGTATGAATGAGAACTGGTTTTAGTTCTTTGAAAGTGCTAGAAGAGATGTACTGCTCATTGATTCTTCATTCTGAATGTCAAGGCTAAAGATAAACCAATGTTTTAATTTAATTTATTATGTTTGGGAATACTAATTGGGTATATCTGTTCTTAAGTTAAATTAGCAGATATTTTTAGAAATCAAAACAAAAAAAGAAAAAAATTACAATCAAAACAACCCTGTAACAGTGATGCTTACTTGGCAGTATTCTGAACCCTGTTAGTTTTGCTGAACATTCTTTTTCTCCTGCCTCTCTTCTCCAGCATTGAAGCACTAGCTGTCACTGTGGACGTACCGTGTTTCACACCTGTACTAGACAGAGGCTGAACCTTAGAAATATCTCCTTCCAGCAGCAGCATCTTGCTAGGTGCCTGACTGCCTGGTTGGCACGCTTGCTGGCTTTTTGGTTAGCTTCCCTGCTGGCAGCTGGGGAATTGGCTAAGAGCCTGTGAGAGATTTATGGACACAGGGTGCCGTGATGCTGCCTGCGCCTCTTTCCTAGTTTTGAGTTCTTATCTGTGCCCTTTTGATTTTGCAGTTTTCTCTTCAAACTCATCTTCCTGGAATCCAGCTCTGGGCCACCACGCAAATATCTTTGATAATTAATTGCTTCATAATGTGGCTGTTTCATCAACTGTCTTTCAGGAACCCATGTGTTTGGGCTTACAAGACAGCACCCATGGTTGTGTCATTAAGCTTTTTAAGGAAACAGTTTAAAAAAAAAAAAGTTGTTACCCTTAAATAGGAGTACTTGGAGCTAAGGAAGTACTTTCTTCCCATGGTCTCCTTGGTTCTATTCTGTGGTGTAGGAAGCACAGGGGATGTCTTGCTTCCTCAAGAAGGAATAAAAAGTTCAACCTTACCTCCTTGGAGTTGCGTTGGAAACAAGGCAATTCAAACTTACCTTAGGGTATGTACTGTTTATTATGTATGCAAGTCACAAACAGTAATGAACGTTAGGATCCTAAGGTTATTTTAAATACTTAGAGGAATAAATATTATACTTTCTCCCCTCTTCCCACTGACATTCGAAGTGTCTCAGTATTCCTGTGTTTATAAATACTTTAGCAGGACCTTGAATATTTATGCCTAATAACTTATTTTTACTCTACGCAAAAGACAGAACACCAGGGTTAGGCTCCTAATCTGTTTCTTTAATCAAACTTGCAATAATTTCAGCAATGTGTGGGAACAGATTGAGAGATGGTCAACCAATTCCTCTGAGGACAGTACTGAATTATACCTTGGGTGTGTATGAGACAAGGAGGGACTATAGTGAGTGATGTGAAAGTAGACTTCAGCAGTTGCATGGTTCAATGCTTCTCTTTAAATTGCAGCAAATTGAAGTGATTATAAAAACTTTTTAGTATATTTGGTATTGTAGTAATGCTAAATTAGCATAAAGTTCACAGTGGAATCCTCTTATGACAGCTCTGATATTGATTCAAGCTGCGGTTTGAGGGATTCAGCTGCCTTCAATCCTTTGGGAAAATGGTGTCCTGCTTCATTAGGGTTAGAAGTGTTAGCTCTGTGACATCTCAAGGGTACCAAACCCTCAGGAAACACATTACAAATTAATCAGAATGTGTGCAAGCTATGAAGCTGCCTAATTAGTTCCTTTTTTTTTAACTATAAAAATAATGTGCAGGTGCTGGCTTTGCATGTCTGGAGGACTTTTGAGCTTGGACTTGGACCTAAGGCTCTTTGCTTGATCTTCGTGATGGTCATGTATTTATTTACCTAAGTGTCATTTTCTGAGAGTACTGAGTAGTAGTAGAGGTGTGTGCTGTACTGAAAATTGGAGTACCTGGGGTGAATCTAGTGTGACTCAAACCACAGCTAAACATGAAACGCAATAGGTACCTGATGTTGTTCTTTTTCTGCTGCCTGCTGCTGCCTTCTCAGCCCCATCTCTACCTGCCCGGCCCCTGCATGCTGGAAGGTC